CACTGGTGCTTATGGTTCACTAGCGTTCGCCTCCCATGATACAACGACTCTCCTCCTTATGAAAGAAGCACTACAATTCACAAGGAACTTTGAACCAAAATTATGCATGAACTTCTCTTTATGAAACTCTAATGCTCTATATGTTTGAAAGTATGTATGTAGAGAATTGATTGAATGATTAAAACTGCAGGAGGATTGGTCTATTTATAGATGATGAAATACCCTTTCCAAAAAGGTATCCCAATCTGAAAAGGCAAACAATACATCCCTTGGTCTTGAAGAGTTATCACCCCAAATAATGTATTCCTTAGTTCGAAGAGTTGTCACCCCCCAATTGAATATGTCTTTAACCCAAGGGTCATGTCCTTAACCCAATGGATTTTATTAATTTCCATTCAAATAGAAAATTAATATTAAATTTCTCACAATCCCCCACATGAATGGAAATTAGTTTCAACAATATGCAAATGATAATGCAGACTTAGAGAGAGTTCCTATTAGAAGGATATGGCATTTGGATAGGTAGCTTTTGGCTTTGAACCTTCCATAGTGAAGTACTATCGGATTTACTTGGCTAATCAGTGAACGTGATGTCTTGAACTGTTCAGCCGTTTGTGTAAACCCATACAATAATACTCACACAATACCCTTCTAGACATATTTGGTTCGATCGGTTGTGCTCGTTTTGGCTCTGAGCAACTCCTGGAATTCATAAGCGCTTTAGAGAATTTAGCCCTAAAAATTCTCATGGAAACGGCCCCGTTTCACACTTATATAGGTGATTTCCTATTGGTAATATCCTCTCATATCTTACTCGGATAATCAAGGTATATGAATCATTAAAAGCATAGCTTAACCTAAACATACTTCATACAACACTGTGTCATCATAGGATATGGGTAGGAGAATATATCTCCGCAGTGTTATTTTGGAGTTATCATAATTTAGTTGTCCCTTTTGAACCTAGATCTTGGGATCTCCAGTCAACTAGGTTGGGTTTCTACTATGACGACTCATTTGACATGGGCTTTAACCCCATTCCCCTCGATGATCTATAAACTTGCTCTCCGTTCAAACCTTTTGACAGGACCCGTCCCGAATTTCCCGGAACCCGAGACGAACCCTGCGGAGACCCCGGCATCACACCCACGCCGGGTTTACTCCTTAAATCTACGTCCTCGTTCACCATAGAGGATTAAGGGCACGAGACTTTCTGCCGAAATTTCGGCAGAGTCTCCCCTGTAAATTGAACATTCCCCAAAACTTCCACCTGCATAAAACACATTTTATAACCCAACCAGCAGCACGCACAATATAATCTCATGCAATTACATAAATGGCCTCCGGCCTTCAAATGATTCTAGCAGACTGCCCACACTGTTTTCAAAATAACTTCATGCATCAACCATGCATATAACAAATTCCAAATCTTTCTATGCACACCTTCACTCACTCAGTCCACCGGACAAGCCTCAATTCAACCAAGTTTCGGGACCAACCACGAGGTCCGCATCATACACGATAAAACCACCTAAGTGGTGTCTAAGTCGTGGCTGCACCTAGGCGCTATCCCAGGCTGCCTACGTACCCTACTAAGGGATCAAGCCACACGTAGCTCTTTCCTATCAATCCTGGCTCCTGATATCAATTAAACCATCACATCCATATAAATTCATACATTCTAGGGTTTATCCATCACAACACCCCAAACACAATTACATAGCTCCCACTCATACGTCGGGACGTACCCGGCCACGTACGGGGTCTGTCAACACGCCGGCTAATCCAAAGACGCGTGCGACCTCACACTGGGCCTGGCTACATTCTCACCAGCCCTCACACAATCATATCTCCCACTCATACGTCGGGACGCACCCGGCCACGTACGGGGTCTGTCAACACGCCGGCTAACCCAAAGACGCGTGCGACCTCACACTGGGCCTGGCTACATTCTCACCAGCCATCATACCATCATATCTCCCACTCATACGTCGGGACGCACCCGGCCACGTACGGGGTCTGTCAACACGCCGGCTAACCCAAAGACGCGTGCGACCTCACACTGGGCCTGGCTACATTCTCACCAGCCCATCATACCATCATAACTCCCACTCATACGTCGGGACGCACCCGGCCACGTACGGGGTCTGTCAACACGCCGGCTAACCCAAAGACGCGTGCGACCTCACCACTGGGCCTGGCTACATTCTCACCAGCCCTTATACCATCATATCCCCCACTCATACGTCGGGACGCACCCGGCCACGTACGGGGCCTGTCACAACCACGCCGGCTAACCCAAAGACGCGTGCGACCTCACACTGGCTGGCTACATTCTCACCAGCCCTTATACCATCATATCACCCACTCATACGTCGGGACGCACCCGGCCACGTACGGGGCCTGTCAACACGCCGGCTAACCCAAAGACGCGTGCGACCTCACACTGGGCCTGGCTACATTCTCACCAGCCCTTATACCATCATATCACCCACTCATACGTCGGGACGCACCCGGCCACGTACGGGGCCTGTCAACACGCCGGCTAACCCAAAGACGCGTGCGACCTCACACTGGGCCTGGCTACATTCTCACCAGCCCTTATACCATCATATCACCCACTCATACGTCGGGACGCACCCGCCACGTACGGGCCTGTCAACACGCCGGCTAACCCAAAGACGCGTGCGACCTCACACTGGGCCTGGCTACATTCTCACCAGCCCTTATACCATCATATCACCCACTCATACGTCGGGACGCACCCGGCCACGTACGGGGTCTGTCAACACGCCGGCTAACCCAAAGACGCGTGCGACCTCACACTGGGCCTGGCTACATTCTCACCAGCCATCATACCATCATAACTCCCACTCATACGTCGGGACGCACCCGGCCACGTACGGGGTCTGTCAACACGCCGGCTAACCCAAAGACGCGTGCGACCTCACACTGTCACTTGGGCCTCAACATAATCACCATAAGGGGGTACGTGGGGTAGTGCGTATAGCACTGTAAACTAACATTCAATCTCTTTATATATCATTACACGTCCACACAATTAATTAAATATATCATATAATTTCATCCACCAATAAAATATTCCATAAACTCCCACATTTAAATTCACCAATTTATATCCTAACCCACAATATCCATTTAACTCAACAACGCTCAAGACCTGTCACTAAGGTCATCCTAACCCTCAAGGAAGGTAAGACTATCTCGGAAGTCTCACGGTCAACCTAGGGTCAAACGGGCCTGCGGGGCCCACAACCTCCAAACTCCAATCCGAAAGTTCCTATAGGTTCTATAGGCTCTAGGACACATGTCCTGCAAGTTTGGTCCAGATCGGACGGTCGGATTGCTCACGATCACACAATCGGACAGTTACTAAAACCCTAACCCCAGGGTTGGCATTTTCGGAGTATCCGGGACTCCGTTTTACGATCCGTCGAATCCTATACGATCCTGGTAATACCTAGATCAACATATTACAATATTAGGACCATCCAACGGTCCAAACCCAGCGAACCCGGAAAATACGCGATATGCGATATCCGTTCGGGACTCTAACGATATCCAAATTGAGATCCGAGCACACCTGCGCGCTCGTGACATCGAGAGGATCACAATGGGACAAAAATGCCCCTCAGCTACAGTGCCCACGCGCCGCCACACGCGCCGGCAGCGCGTGGGTGTCCAAAGCGATACCCATCGCCGGAAAACTTCCAAATCGTGAGCCCAGACTCCTACCCTAGGTAATACACCTAATTTGGAGTCACTTTTGTTCTTGGACGTACCCCAAAAACTGACCGGAAGTGGCCGGAATCTCATCCCGAAATCCGGCCGAAACCCAATTCGTAAATCGAGTTGCCTACGCTACAAATCGATCAATTCCTACCCAACAGGCAGCTAGAGCTCGGAAAATAGGTGAGAAACCATACCTCACTTGCCGGAATCGGTGGCCGGACGACGGAGAACGAAGCCGGCGAAGTTTCTGTCAAAACCGGAGCTTTTCTCTTCGATTTTCCGGCGAAATCTCGACGGCTGACGGCGAGACCTGGCTGGGGTAGGAAGAGGACGGCGGCCCGGTCATTTTGGTACCGGCCCCGTCGACTTTGGTGGCCGGACGAGAGCACGGCCGGCCAAAACGTGGCCGGCCACAGTGGCTGTCGCGAAAACCAGAGGGAGAGACGCGCGCGGGAGAGAGAGAGAGTGTCATAGACGGGGGCAATTCCGTCTTTTTAACCAAAAATCCATTTTCCAAATATTTACGATTATGCCACTGAGCTTCTTTTGATCATATCTCTCTCGTTACCACTCCGATTCGAGCCCACTACGTGTCTACGAACTCATCTCGCCGTGCTCTACGCAACGGTACATCCGAAATTCCCAAATTCATTCCGGGTAAGAAAATGACTAAAATACCCATCCCTCGGGTAAATTCTCAATTCCACTTAAATAAATTAAAACATGGGATAAATTGGGGTCGGGGTGTTACACCTTTAGTAAACGGATCCGCCAAATTATCTCTTGACTTTATGTAGTCAATGGTAATTATACCACTGGAGAGCAGTTGCTTAACGGTGTTGTGTCTTCGACGTATATGTCGAGACTTGCCGTTGTACATATTGTTTTGTGCCCTTGCAATTGTAGATTGACTATCACAATGTATACATATAGCAGGCACTGGTTTTGGCCAACATGGAATATCTTCTAAGAAATTACGTAGCCATTCAGCTTCCTCACCAGCTTTATCTAATGCTATGAACTCAGATTCCATAGTAGATCTAGCTATAACAGCTTTATTGTTTGCCTTTTCTGGTTCTTAGGCAAACGATTCTAAAGCTTAATTTCAATCCAAGTGCACCCATAATCAGCTTATAGTCCTCCGGACAGCTTTATAATTTCATTTCATGGTTCTTAGGGCATTCATTTGAGTTATCATGCTTCTGTTGTGATGTGTGACCACAGCAAACCTAACAGATCGAACTTGACTACATTGCTAGTGATGTCTGCATAAAGATTCAGATAGATTCATTCAGTAACAAAATTCAAAGCAATAGTGCGTCCCCTGAAAATGCAGAGGAATTAGAAAGATCAAACTTGACTACATTTCTAGTGATGATCTTATCTTTTGAAAAGCTTATTTAGTTATACAGAACTACGTAGTAAAATAACTTACCTTAACAATGTGAACAATAAGACAGAAAATGTTGTGTGATATAGGTACCTGGACAGAGTTGTTCACAAATTCAATAAGACAGAATCTGAAACAACTTCAAAAGTGCAGATAACCAAGAACTTGGAACTAACCTGCTCATCTTGCAATGAAACCATCTTCAACAAAGGAGGTGTGCGCTTTAGAGTTTTCTTTTAGTTCATATTAGTGCATAATCTCTAAACTTGGTCTATATATACACTCACCGCCACGTTTGGACACCAATTCCAACTGCTTTTCTGCTTCCTGAAAGTCATGTGAAACCTCAAATTCCTTGTTAGTACGTTGGTAACAGACCCTACTCATTGATAACCCAGGGGATCCGGATAGTTGTGTGAAAATCTTACCTTCTTCATCATTGTCTCTTTCTTCCATGTTTATATGCCTTTAATTAGCTGTACCAGCCAGAACTCAGAAGAATATCTAATAAGATTACTGGAAGTGTATATTCCGTAGAAAATGTAACATACTTCTAATGGTCATAGCATATGTACTCATATCATTTGACAGATTCAAATAATTAAGCCTATGTTGGTATAAGCGGTAGCAACTATCTCTAAATGTTACCAACTGCTCTTTGTTACCTATTGATGGTCAATTTTTCGTTGTGAAGTGCACGGGATTGGGATGTATTAATGACTTTACTGTTATATTTTGAATTCCAAATTCCAATGCCAAGATGATCAGTGCTTGATTTGGGTCGACGCTTCAAGATTATTCAGGGTGTTGCTAGAGGGCTTCTTTATCTTCACCATGATTTCTGTTTGAAGGTAATACATAGAGATTTGAAGGTCAGTAACATTCTCTTGGATGAGAACATGAACCCAAAACTTTTAGATTTTGGATTAGCATGTATCACTTAAGGCACGCAGATTCTAGCAAATACTCACAAGGTTGTAGGAACAATGTAAGCATCATCTCTTTCTTTTCCAATTCTCGGAAATCTTCTTTAAAAGTTAAATCCTTGAACACACTATCACTCATATCTGAATAAATGGCCTAGGCGGTCTAGGCAGGTGCTGGCGCCTAGAAGAAAGAAAAGGCCATTTTGGAACTCCAAGTTCTGGGACGAGATGACGATGGTGCTATGAGTCGAGAGAGAGAGAGAGAGAGAGAGAGAGAGAGACGACGATGAGATTGAAGAAGAAGAGATGTTGCGTGTTATGTTTAGGGTTTAGAAAAGGGCCTGGGCGAGAGAGAAGGGCATGGGCTTCAAAAAAATACAACATTGAATGGATTTTGCATTATGAAATCACTAAAGTAACCACTAATAAGTATATTTTAAATCAAAAATATATATCCTTTTATTTTTCATGATTTTGGTATAAATTTGTAATTTATAATACTAAATAATTTATTTAAAAAATCATAGGCACTCACATAGGCCCCGATTACTCCTCTAGGCGCTAGGCCCTTGCAAGTTGAGATGATGGATCTTTAGTTTTTACTCCAATTTTGTTTGTGAAAGTTTCCATAATTTTCTCTTGCATTGCATAGTTGCTTACCCTTTTCATCAATTTAGCATAAACTTTTACGTTGCAAGTTTGACATACAATGTTGATCTATTACACAACACATTAAACTTATGGGATCACTGATTGTCTAACATGGTGTCAGACGATTTTTTGCAAGTGATCCTAAGTTCTACCCATGTTCTCCACTTCTTTGTTGGTTTGCAAGTGACGTATGGGGCTGCATTTGTATGTTTGTCTCTTTCCGGCCATACACTATTTGGAGCCAGTGCTTGTCTAATAGTAGGAACTTTGAATTAGTTAGAGAATTTAGATTAAACTTTTGCATTTTGTACTACTAGCACATATAACTATACATGAAGCAACAGATTGCACCTATATTTGCCATTAAGGTTGACTTTTGAATTTGATATCTTTGTGTAGTAGCTATAACCCCATTGGAGATACAACTGAGGCAAATGTTAATCTGTTTCTGCAGAGACACACATGAGAAGTGACATAATCTGAAACATAATAAGATTGTTTCTGGTATCCTAGAAGAAAAGCATGGCATATGACATTTCGCAGGAGTACCATGGTGTTTGTGGGTTTCAAATAGTTTAATTCAGGTCTACATATAAAATGTGTGTAAAGCAACTTTCTAAATGCAAGTTCTCAAACAATTAGAAGCAATTTGACCATTTCATTATATCATATAGTAAAAATTAGGGAGAAGCTGAATACAGTCTTTCAATGTAAAAGTTTTGTACAATGAAGACGCATTTGTAAGTTCTTAAACTTCATCTTGAAACCTTGTGAGGACACATCAAAACGAACTTAAGTAGCCTTGAGAAATCATCGTTTCAAATACAAGTCATTCCACCCAACTTGCTTTTAAACAAGCCAAAGAAATATCTGAATTTATGAGACCCAATTTCCGGAAGAGAAATTTCTAGTATCGGCATGCTATAAAGCTCCACCAATTTGTCCAGAAGTATCTCGTTCATTTGGTCCACATCACATGCATGAGTCCAGAAGGAATCATGCACCCCTGCAACCATATTTTGACACATATGTGAGACTTCAAACATACTTCAACATGTAAGTGAGAACTAAAACCAACATATTTCAAACATACTTCAAAAGAGACTATGTTTTGATGAATCTATGCCCTCTAATCATCTAAGTACAGAGCAGGGTGTAGAGACTAGCCCTTTTCAACTCTTTAAGCTCTGTTCTGATCTAGGTTTTTGCTAAAATGGAGGTGGGTCTTGTTGGGTTGCTCAGAACAGCTTGGATTGCAACGATACTGCCTATACTCAAAGCTTATGTACCTTCTTCTAGGTTAAGCTCATTTCGTGGAGCTGTGTTGGAATTTGCCAAGAGAGGAAAGATCTTGAAATCTTCTTCTCAGGTTAGTGATTGAAAAAAACGATTATAGCCGCGCGGCTATACTATTTCTTTAAAAAAAATTATAAAAAGCAAGTATCGCCGCCCGGCTATACTATTTCTGCGAAAAAATTTAGAAACAACCTAGTATAGCCTTGTTTAAAACACCATTTCTTGATTAAAAAAAATTAGTAAAAACCGAGTATAACCGGCCGGCTATACTATTTCTTTTTAAAAAATTAGAAAAACCGAGTATCACCGTTCGGTATGCGAATGGATGAGTTACTAGAAAAGCTTCTTTATTTGTACAGAACTAGAGAGTAAAATAACTTAACAATCTGAACAAGAAGAAAAGCCACCCATACATACACAAGCATCAATGACTCCTTCCAGTAAACGTTGTGTGATATAGACACCTGGATAGAGCTGTTCATCGTATCAATAGAACAAAAACTGATCAACCACTTAAAAATTGCAGATAACAAAGAAGTTGCAAAAGAATACAGGCTTAGAATGTTCTGATATTCTTGGAACTTACCTGCTCATAGCTGGACCACTAGGTAGTAGTTTATAGTCTTCTCCAGAACCATATGCAACTAAGGAGATGCGCACTTTAGAGTTTTCCTTTAGTTCATATTAGTATACTCTAAACTTGGTCTATATAAAAGAATGTTTGCTTGGAGCACTCACCGCCAGGTTTGGACTCCGATTCCAACTGCTTTTTTCTTCCTGAAAGTCATGTGAAACCTCAAATTCCTTGTTATTAGATTGCTAACAGACCATATTCATTGATAGTTCAGGAAATAGTTAAGTGAAAACCTTACCTTTTTCATCTTTGTCTCTTTCTTCCATGTTTCTATGCCCTTCATTAAAGCTTTTGCTGCTGTACCTGCCAGAACTCAGAAAATATCTAATAAGATTATTGGGAGTATTCAAAGTAAATAAGGAATTTGTGTTCAAAATGTTATTACCTAAGAAGAGAATGATAAGTAGAACTGTGACCATCCAGTTGGCGAACATGAGGTTGAAGGCAACTCCTATGCGGATGCCTAGCATGAGCATTGGCTGAAAGAGCAATGCCAGATCATAATCTATAAAGGGGCATGTCCAGTGTTGGGTGCCTAAGTCTCAAATTGAAGTATACTGTTGAACCTGCAGCACCCATTATCATACCTGCATGACCAATAGGATGGCATACAGTTCTTCAATTCTGTCTAAATTGAATACATTAAGATTAAATTAACAAGTTAAAAGAAAATATTAAAAGGAAAAGTAGTGATTGCTGACACTTAGAAATGGCAGTGGAAGACTTGGGATCAAAACCAATGATCAAGGCAAGCATTGCCTCCACCCCCAACACCTCCCACACTACCCAATGCTGCACCAAAGAATCCAACTATTGAGCCAACTACAATTTTCCAACCAAACTTGATCTCCTGAACAACCGAAATACATATGTCAAAGTCAAAATACCACAACAGTAAACATTAAAGGAAGAATCATAAAATCTTATTGGAACAAGTCAAAATACCCTAAAATTAGACGTAAAAGTTATATCCCCTTTATGCTCTCTCTCTCTCTCTCTCTCTCTCTCTCTCTCTTGCTGGAGATGCATTAACTACGGTGATTAAGAGAGATCAAACTCACTGGTGTAGCAACTTTGAGTATATGTCTGCACAAAGTTCAGATACAGTTAAATCATGGTGCTAATAAACCAAAAGGTTGTAGGAACAATGTAAGCATCATCTCTCTTTTCCAATTCTCGGAAATCTTCTTTAAAAGTTAAATCCTTGAACACACTGTCACTCATATCTGAACAAATGGCCTAGGCGGGCGCTAGGAGGGCTAGGCGGGGGCTAGGCGGGCGCTAGGCGGGCTAGGCGGGCTAGGCGGGCTAGGCGGGGGCTAGGCGGGCGCTAGGCGGTCTAGGTGGGCGCTGGCGCCTAGAAGAAAGAAAAGGCCATTTTAGAACTCCAAGGTCTGGGACGAGATGACGATGGTGATATGAGGCGACAGAGAGAGACGACGATGAGATTGAAGAAGACGAGAGGTTGCGTGTTATGTTTAGGGTTTAGGAAAGGGCCTGGGCAAGAGAGAAGGGCCTGGGCTTCAGAAAATACAACATTAATGGATTTTGCATTATGAAATCACTAAAGTAACCACTAATAAGTAACAAATAACAAATAAATTGTGGTCAAAATGTTATTCCCTAAGAAGAGAATAATACGTAGAACTGTACATGTGATCATCCAGTCTGCGAACATGACGTTGAAGGCAACTCCTATGCCGATGCCCAGCATGAGCATTGGCTGAAAGAGAAATGCCAGATCATAATCTATAAGGGGCATGTCCAGTGTTGGGTGCGTAAGTCTCAAATTGAAGTATGCAGTTGAAACTGAAGCACCCACTATATTACCTGCATGACCAATAGGATGGCGTATAGTTCTTTAATTATGTCTAAACTGAATACATTAATATTAAATTAACAAGTCAAAAGAAAAGATTAATAAGAAAGAACTAACACTTGGAAATGGA